TATATATATATATTTACTTCCATAAGAGGTTAAAGATCTTACCACAGTAACTTCAGCGAACACACTTCAAAGCTTTATTTAAATTTTAGGGGGAATTTCATACAGTCTGGCTTTAAACCAAAAGTACAATTGTTTAGAACGTTTATCTTTGAAGCAACGGGAACTAACAGGGATTGTAAGATTGGCAATTTACCACTGAATAGCCTTTGTTAGAGGTCTGGTTAAAAGAAAATCTGTCATCCAGCACACAAAATACATAATAAATACACAATTCATTCTTAAATAGTTCCCTTCTTCTGACACAATTGGGGAAACAGAGCACAAAAGAAGTCTTGTGCCTCTCACTGACTAAGCTGAGTTAATAGAGAGATTGCAGAAGTTGGATAGGAGAAAGCAGTCACCAGTCCCATGGTTAAAAGTGAACAACTTTCTCTGCCAGACCATGCTCTGAAGAAAAACACCAAAAAAGCAGAAGTGCAACCTGTATCTTAATTCACTCCCCAAGAGCACCTGAGCGTTCCTCAGGTGTGACACGCAAAATCACCTCTAATACAAACACATAGAAAGGTCACACCTATTAATGGATGCAGGCAGAAGCCACAACAGAGTTCCATGACTTTTCAAGTAACAAGTTTAATGTATGATGGTGTGGTATCTTGTAATGAACATGGAATATTGGACTGCTTTGATTGCTGCTGGCGATGGCTCTGGGGAAGCTGTATGCAAATCAAATGCAGCATCTGGAGTGTGGTTTATACTGTGGTGACAGTGAAAGAAGGGGTTGAGACAAGGTGCTAAATGTTAGTGTCATCCACTAGCAAGGATAATTGGGGCAAAGAGCACCTGTACTTAAGCAACTGAGTACAGAGGTGAAAGGAAGGAAAGCAAGAATTTAGACAGTGTTTGGTTCTTACAAAAATGTACGTTTTAGAGTATTGTGCACAGGTATCATTAATGGGAACCTCTCAGGCTTGAAATACAGAAGATGTCATTTGAGACCCAGAGACTATCAGATTGTTTCCTTACACAATGAGTAAACGGACTTGAAAAATCAAACAGTGAGGTTTTGGGGTACCTAAAATGTGTATAAGTGTTGTGGACCAGTGGCTCACCTAAAATTTACATAATTGTTGTGGACTAGTGGCTCACCTGATGTGTACATAATTGTTTGGACCAGTGTCCACCAAGTAGTGAAGGAAAGACAAAGATAGATAGGGCAAGTGCCTATAAAAATAGGCAGCTCACAAAATCCTATTCTAGCATTATCCTTTAGAGCCTTGATCTGGTTCTGTGTGGCAGTGCTAGCTGGTAATCCTGTGGAAACATGATATCCGACAGCCTTAACTGTCATTCAGTACCTCACAACCATATTATTTCTCAATCTTACCTCCTCTGGTATGTAAAATGTAAATAGAGCTTTATGAGGATTGACTTAACTGGCATGGGGCAGAGCAATAGGTAGTTTGACCTACTCTCCTTGAAAAAACTGTTCCAGCTATCTCAAGTTTGAAGGGCTCTCTGCAATTTTCTGTTCTTTCCATAGATGTTTCAAAAGATTTAGATCAGGGTTCATAGAACCCCACTTCAGAATAGTCCAATGTTTTGTTGTTAGCCATTCCTAGCTGTGTGTTTTGGATCATTATCCTGATTGAGTATCCATGAACTGCAATTGAGACAGAGTTTTCTGACACGGGGCAGTACATTTCACTCCAGGATTCCTTCATAGTCCTAAAATTGAACTGTGCCCTGCACAGATTCATGGCATCATATGCCAGGCACCGCAAAGCAGCCACAACACATACTGTAACTGAGCCTCCTCCATGTTTCACAGTAGGTATGTACGGTGTTCTTTTCTTTGAAACCTTTTTGCTTCTGTGAACATAGAGCTGATGTGTCTTGCCAAAAAGCTTCAGCTTTGTCTTATTTGTCCACTGGCAATTTAGCAAACCCTAGTCTGGATTTGTTACTCTCTCTTCAACAGTGGAGCCCTCCAGCATCTTCTTCCTTTGAGCCTACTGTCGCACAAAAAAGCAATGCATGGTGCAATCAGACAACTATGTATCTTGATGTTCTGCTTGTACTTCTTTGGACAATTTTCTTGGCTGTTTGTCTTCCATTCTGACTATTCTTGTGTTCAGTCTAGGGTCGATTTCATCTTGCAGCCTCGTCCAGGGAGGTTGGCAACACTCCCACATGGACCATAAACATAAAATTACAAACCGTAGTCATAGGAACATCAAGCTGCTTGGAGATGGCCCTGTAGCTTTTACCTTTCACATGCTGGTCTATAAATCTTTTTTCTAACCTCCTCAGGTAATTTTCTCCTTTGCCATCTCTGGTCTATCCTCAAAGTGGTGCACATGATGACAGCAAACAACTGAGTGATGCTTTTTCTCCATTTAAAATGTCTGACTAATTACAGAATTGAAGACGTTTGAAACAAATTATTTATTTTAATTTTCAGATTTTAATGTGCAAAACCAACAGAGACCAGTTTGTTTGAAATATCAATATGATCCAATCATTTATAATCTTTTCATGCTCATGTCATTCTGGTATAGCTTTTGTAGAATAAGCAAACATGTATCTTTTTTAACATTTTCTCTCTTTACACATGAGACAACTGCTTTTCTTTCATCACTTTTCAGGAGGAATGAAGCATCACTTCAGTGACGTGCAAGGGTACTAACAAATTTGTCTATGTCTATATAAATCTGTGCAGGGTGGGATTGGTTAGCTCAGGGCACAGGGGCAAAAAGGATAAGTGCACTTTGTTTTAAAGTGCATTTGTCCTTGAAAGGGCATGAGAGCAGGGGGGAAAACTCTGGTGCCCCCCGCTCCAATGCTTATTTTGCTAAATACTTAACACAGCCCTGCTCCTAACAGTATAAGTACACTTGTCAGGAAATAAACTCTGTAGGCTACCAATGCTGGCCTAGTTCTGAAATTGTTAGTTGCTTTAATACTTTAGAGTCCTGAAGCAGGCCTGGCCTGAAGCAAGCTCGCAGTACAAGAGTGTCAGAACCCCGATTTTCATACCTGTTCTGCAATAAAAAAAAAAAGCCTGCCTACCAAAGCTTTTATTTTTAAAAGGTGTTTAATGTCTAACCTTGACCACAAGTATACATTTTGCCTCCTTACTGAAGCTAAATCTACCAACAAATAATTTGGACTACAGTATTTGCATGATTTTACATAATATTTACCTTGAACCAAAGTACTGGTGCCCAAGCAGTTCCACATTCGAAAATACCTCCACTTAAATTAAAGCATCAAAAAAACTAATGGTCAGTCTCTGGCTGTATTGCTGTATTAAAGGCCTTAGCAATGGTATGATGACAAAAGCTTACGGGGAAACACGGTATATATCAATTGGGAACAAGGCACAAAAGGTCCCCAGTACAAAAGTGTTGTTGATCTCTGAAGACATTTTTTAAAGAACAATAGATAACTAATACACTGATTTGTAGTCTTGGAGAAAGCAGGAGTTACATAACACAGTACATTGTACCTGGCTTTCTCTGAAGCATACGACTTACACAAATCAGCTGATGAATCTTTCCTGTACCTCAGTAATAGGAGCACAACATCTTAGAAATGGTTGACTCACCTCAGACTTCATGTAGGCAGCCACACCCTTTGCAGCTCCAATGATAACATAAGGGACTCTGTCTCCCAAGTTTGGAGCACTCCCAGGGTCTCTCTTTCTCATTCTGTTCAAAGAAAAATGATAGAAAGTGATCAGGTAATAGTTAAGAATTCCAAATCAGAACTACTAGCAGTAAGTTAAACTGAACTTAAAAAAAGTAAAGATTTGCCAAGTTTTAAAGAAATTGTAGAAATGTTAATTGTGCCTTAGTTAAAAATTACATTTTGCCCAGAATTCCTAATGAAAAATAGCAGTGCACTTCCTAGTATGCAAAAGTTCCTCCACACTCCTGTCCCTACAGTCTCTTAGTTATATAGCTGCAGGGGGAGATAAAAGCACTGCTTCCGTGATGCTGTTCACTGTTCTCCTTGCTGGAAACTGACATGAGGAAGCAAAAACCGTCTGCCAAGATGGCCGTCTCCATACAGCAGACGTTGATGGTCTGTGCATGTCAGTGCAAGCAGCATCATATCGTTTCTCTCTTTCCAGGGAGCGCGCACATAAAGGTCGCTCTATAGGTCTCTGGAAGGCAACGGAGCCACCCAAAAACCGTGAACCTGGGGCTAATCTTTGGATTGGCTCAACAAAGAAGAAAGGCAAGATTTTAGAGAAAAGGAAGCAGCATACAAGTACCAAGGTAAGCTGCTATAATTGATTTCAATATTTTAGGGTTTAATAACACTTTAATTATACTTGGCACAGACATTAGATTATATTCTGGAATGACTTGATAAAGATCAATTGTGCTTACAGGTAGCAAGTAGGGTCAGATAAGATTCATGTCCCAGGTGTCCTGCTTCTCCCGTGCTGTCCTTCCAGCCAGTAGCAGCTCTGCAGTCTTCCTCCCAGCCTATGGCAGCTGAGGTGGGCGACCCCCACGCAATTCTCACTTGCCAATTGCGAGGGGAAATTTTGAGCCCTGCTCTATTGTATTCCTCCTTGCTCCTCACCCATCAAAGGTAATGTAGGGATGTGAAGAGTGGGGTAAAGGAGCTGGGTCAGCAAAGAGAGTAATTAGACACTCCCAGAAAATGGCTATGGCCTGTAAGGAGGGGGCTGTTCTAGGGAACTGACTCTTCCCACAAACGTCTCATTGTACAACCTAAGTACTGCATTTGGCACTCATCACAAAAACATAAATCACATACAGTATCAAGTAAAACGATCAATAGTTTAACTTAAAAAAACATGGCCTTTGGTGCACGATCTCTGTTATGACAATCTCCCAAAAAGTTACAACTTGAACACTTTGCTGCACAGCATTTTAAAAACCGTTGTCGTCCTTAATCAGGTTCTGTTGTTTTTTTTCTGTCTTGTTTTTTGGTGCTAAAGAGGCAAGGTATTAGCCGATTAGCTAGAGGTGGAGCTTTCCTGGCCATAAAGTGAACATAAGCTGGCAATACTTTTTTTTTAAAATCATGGTCACTATTCCCAAGCAGCATACACCTAAGTATTACTTTTCTAACATCTTAAAACTCCAGACTATATGGTGCAGAACAAGAGTAGGCAAATTCTGGCCCTTCAGCTGTGGTGCAACTACAAATCCTATGAGGCATTGCAAGACTGACAGCCACAGGCATAACTCCCAGAGGCATAACGGAATTTGTAGTATCACCACAGCTGGATTGCCAAAGCTTTCCTACCTCTGGTGTAGAAAATACAACAGACTTACATTTACCTTTTTGGGAGTTCCCTCGCTTTGCAAATTTCTTTTTTCAATAAATCTTCCATTCATCTATTCTTGATACTCTCTCTTGAGACTCTCTCATAGAATTTTTTTTCCATCCCATGGCATTCCTCTCAAATCCTTCTGCACTTAAGCAGCTACATATAGCTCTAATAAATTGGCCTTTGGGTATGGCCCTAATGACATGTTTGTGTTGGTGACTGTTCACATGCAGAAGGGAATTCCTTGATGAAGTTCTACAATAGCTCTGCACATGGATTCTCTGATCCTGTAAGGATCCAATCAATGTCAGATCCAAGTAAATTATTTATTTTGTTCTTCAAATGTAAAACAAAGATTGCATTAATTTGAATACAAATAGGCCAAGAAAACAGATTACTTTAACTGTTTATTTACCACAACAATTAGATTACTCATACTAAACAAAATATGGGACCTAAAGGGTTTGATCTCCAAAGATGTGGCGCTTCCCCCACCAACCCATGTATAGATTTGAAAATGCTGCCCATTTCTTTCTTTTGGCTTTTATGAAGGCAAAACATAAATTCCGTGGCTCACCGTTGATCCTCTTGCTTAAAGTAACATTAAACCCTCAGATTTTTTAACATAAACCAATACTGTAATGTGTGCCTTACTGTAATCCATGGTAGTTTCCCTTCTCTTTGCTGCTCTTCCTTTTAAATCTGTATCTCTTCTCATGCTTGGGGAGAACTTCCCTTTGCAGCTGAGTGCCTCTTCCTGTAGTGCTGGCTCAGGTTGTGAACCTACACACAGACACCGTGTATCCATTTCAGAGACAAGGCAGTCTGCTGCAAAAGAGAAGTTCTGCCCAGCATGAGAAGAGATACAGATTTAAAAGGAAGAGCAGCAAAGAGAATGGAAACAACCATGGATTACAGTAAGGCACACATTACAGTATTGTTTTATGTTAAAAAATCTGAGGGTTTAATGTCACTTTAAACACTCAGGGCTGAAAAACACATTTTTGAAGGGGTGCAATGCGGTAACATGCATGTTAAAGTGCCATTAATTTTACAATGTGTTGCAACAAAGTACAACTCACTAGTAGTTGTAATGCGTAGTGTAATGCATCCAATAAATGCTGCATGTACTTTTATTATGTCCGTTCTTGTGAACTGGCAGCCCTTTCAAATGAATGGGCATCTTTAACGCACATTAATATGACACAATGGGGGAATTGATCAAAACTGGAAACCAATCAGCTTCTATCTTCAATTTGTTCAGTTAAGCTTTGAAAATGAATGCTAAAACCTGATTGGTTGCAATAGGCAACTGCTCCAGATTCTGCCTGCCCCAGTTTTGATAAATTCCCCTTAATGTGCGTTATTACAAGGCACAAGAAAGGCAAAGTATGAATGGGCCACTGACCTGGCACAAGTTTGCAAAAAGTTCTTCTGACGTTTCTCACATTAACTCATATCTGTTTTAGGAAGAGTCTCTCAGCCCCTAAAGATGGTTCCAAGCAAAGACTGCCAGTCTCTGATGACAGTAGTTGTGAGTCACTGCTGTTAGTGCAGTGTGCATAAAATCAGACAGTATTTAAAGCAGACTGGAAGACCTCTAGAGGCATGACATGATGTAGTGAAAAGGGTTAGCGCCACACCAGCCCCCTCTTGCTAGTATAACAAAATGCCCTGGGGAGCCCAATAACATAGTCAAAGTAACACTCAGCATCATTGGTCAGGCCTCCACCCACACAGAACAATGCAAGTGGGTGGGGAAAGGAAAGGTGTTCAAGGTACTCACCATACCACAGAAAAGATGGGGGAAACTAATGGGGAGCTGGTAAGAACACCTGGTCAGCACGGTTGGAGGACTCTGCTCAGTAATGTGTGAAGGTTACATCATACAGGAAGAACATGATACATCCTCCACATCTGAAGGACCGTTTAACTGCATGAGGCACAAACAGCTTTATACTAGTGATTATTGAACTTAATATACTAACAGTATGTTCAATATCAAGAAAAAAAAAGGATACATACAATTCTGTGCAAATGTTTTAGGTAGGTGTGAAAAAAATGCTGTAAAGTAAGAGTGCTTTCAAAAATATATATATTTTGATTATTTTTATCAATTTACAAAATGCAAAGTGAGTGAACCGAAGAAAAATCTAAATCAAATCAATATTTGGTGCGACAACCCTTTGCTTTCAAACCAGCATCAATTCTAAAGGTGGCCATACACTTTACAACCATCACAAGACCTTAGTCTTGGACAGGCAGATCGTACTTGCGATCATCAGGGCTGGAGAGCAGTACAATGTGTGTCTGCAGGCAACAGTGAAGCATGGTGGAGGTTCCTTGGAAGTCTGGGGCTGCATTTCTGCTAAGGATGCACCAAAACCGTTTTTTTTTGTTATCGAGTACCGATATATTTTCTTTTGGTACTCGGCGATAGCGAATACCGATACCGGAAGTCCCATTAACCTTTCTGGCGGTAATCCCGAGTGTGGCTTGGGGTTAATTTTCAGTACCAAAAGCGGTAACCCCGAGCCACACTCGGGATTACACTGTAGCGTCACTTACCTTGTCCCTACGGGCCCCGCTGAGATAATCAGACCGCCAGGGAGGTTAAGGAAACCAGGCGCTGTGTAATGACTCGCCACCTGGCTTCCTGATTAGCCGGGAAGCATGTAAAGACTCGCCCACACTGCTTCTCGATCAGCAGAAAAGCCATCTCCATGTTCCCTCGTCATCAGGTGACGAGGAAGCATGGAGCCAGCTTACTGAACAATCAGGAAGCCGGGTGCAGTGTAATGACGCGTTGCCCGGCTTCCTGATTGGTCGAGAAGCTAGCCAATCAGGAAGCCGGGCAACGCGTCACTACACGGCGCCCGGCTTTCTGAATGGCCGGGAAGCCGGCTCCATGCTCCTTCGTCACCTGGTGATGAGGGAGCGTGAAGCGGGCTTTCTGGCCAATAAGAAAGGCAGGGGGCAAGTGACAAGGGAGCGTGGAGACGGCTTCCCGGCCAATCAGGAAGCCGAGGAGCCTGTAAAGACTCGGGGCCTGGCTTCCTATTACTGGAAGCTCAAGTATTTGGCTAGGCATCGGAGCATTTGAGCAAGTAAGAGTACTTGCCTAAATACTCTGCATCGGCACCAATGCTAGTATCGGTATCGGTGCATCCCACATTTCTGCAAATAGAGTTGGAGATTTGGTCAGTATCAATGGTGTCCTCATTGCTGAGAAATACAAGCAGCTACTTATCAATCATGCCATACCATAAGACAACAACCCCAAACATACAGCCAATGCCATTAAGAACTATCTTTAGCGTAAAGAAGAACAAGGAGACCTGCAAGTGATGGTTTGGCCGCCACAGGGCCCTGATCTCAACATGATCGGGTCTGCCT